AAACAGACCTGTGGAGCACTGCATGAAGGGTTCCCACACTTGTAAGCAGACCTGTGGAGCTCTGTGTGTAGGGTTCCCACACTTGTAAACAGACCTGTGGAGCACTGTATGAAGGGTTCCCACACTTGCAAACAGACCTGTAGAGCACTGTATGAAGGGTTCCCACACTTGTAAACAGACCTGTGGAGCACTGTATGAATGGTTCACACACTTGCAAACAGACCTGTAGAGCACTGAATGAAGGGTTCCCACACTTGCAAACAGACCTGTGGAGCACTGCATGAAGGGTTCCCACACTTGTAAGCAGACCTGTGGAGCTCTGTGTGTAGGGTTCCCACACTTGTAAACAGACCTGTGGAGCACTGTATGAAGGGTTCCCACACTTGCAAACAGGCCTGTGGAGTACTGTGTGTAGAGTTCACACACATCAAAACAGACTCATGAATCTTGCCTCATGCGTTGAAAATTTGAAGCCGATCAAATTAATCGTTCTCGAGTAATTAAAACAAATTTTTAGACTAGAGTGAAAATGTTACTGAAAATCTAAAAAAAAAAAAAAATACGATAGGCTGCCATCGTTGAACTTAAAAATGAACACAGAACCTCATAATATTTTCATGGAGTAATCTTTTCTTTTTTCCATTCTATTTTAAATTTTATAAAATCATGTAAGGAAAATTTTTTGTTTTAGGTTTTAAATAATGTAATTTAGTAAAATGGCCCCAAAAAAACTGGCAAATTGTCCCCAGAGAGCCCAAAATTAATACAAAAATACCTAATAGCAAGCTACACTAGTATGTGGAGACTGGAACTTATCACATGAGAAACAATTTGCTTAATAAATTTGGGAAATTGAATTTTACACAACTCTGAGCGACAATGTGTTTTTATAAAGCCCGCCAATGAAAACAGTTTGAAGACAATCAGAAAAATCATTCTTTAGTAATTGATTTGATTCCAACGATCTAAATTTTTCAACTCTTTGAGAAAAATTATAATCTGCACCTACTGGAACTAAACTTATGGGAAATAATCATTCTAATAGAATGGCATCATCAGTATTATTTTGAAGTGAATCAGAACAGACATTATTTAGTTCTTTAATAAAAGACGATAACCATTTATTCAATAAAACATGTTCAGGGAACCACACCAGCGGTGAAAATTTGAAACTAATCAAAAGAGTCATTCTCCAGTTATGGTATGGATTCCACGGATTCCAACATCAACAAACTCACCTGCGCACAAAGGGAACATAATAGGTATATCCGGCTCTAAGATGCCTCACCCATTAAATATTGAAGCAGTTTAGAGGAGGTCGATTGAAATTTATTTCTTTATTTCTTTAACGGGAATAAAATATAACACTATTTTGCACATAAAATTGCCAAACCTGCTTCAACACATGACTTTCACTCTCCTTCGTCGTCGTAGTGTCTGACACCATTTGTGAGCGTTTAAAGTTCCACCACTGAGGAGTTCGGAAGTTATCTGAATCATTCCATGATACTGAGAATGGATTCAACAGCTTTGGTCAAGTCACGTGAGCATGGTAATTGTTCCAAGAATTTGGTCTTCGCTATCGTATACAAAGGTTGAAGATTTGAAGCCGACTGCATGAAGCGTTTTCGAGTTATGAGCCAAATAAAATCGAAAATTTGGGGGAAAAAAAACAAAATAATTCACGGAGCCTCTGTAATATCCCCCTTCAGGGATACCTAATAACATAATGTACTTTTATCCTTTCTTAGTATAAGTTCAGGTTCCTGAAGCCTCTGATAAGTAGCAACCTTATGTATGCTACCCATGTTGCTCTGATAAGTAGCAACCCTATGTATGCTACCCATGTTGCTCTGATAAGTAGCAACCCTATGTATGCTACCCATGTTGCTCTGATAAGTAGCAACCCTATGTATGCTACTCATGTTGCTCTGATAAGTAGCAACGCTGTGTATGCTACCCATGTTGCTCTTTTAGGTAGCAACCCTATGTATGCTACTCATGTTGCTCTGATAAGTAGCAACGCTGTGTATGCTACCCATGTTGCTCTGTTAGGTAGCAACCCTATGTATGCTACTCATGTTGCTCTGATAAGTAGCAACGCTGTGTATGCTACCCATGTTGCTCTGTTAGGTAGCAACCCTATGTATGCTACTCATGTTGCTCTGATAAGTAGCAACGCTGTGTATGCTACCCATGTTGCTCTGATTATATGAATTAATGGTTTATATAATCGACAGGTTGATAAATGAGAGTCTTGTACAACATTTGGGTATCTATGCTGGTAAATAATGAAGATACACAAATGGTGCACAAGTTTCTCTTTATGTTCAACTTAATGAAAATAAATTGTATAAAATACCGACACTATGGAAACAAACACATATGCAGTTTAATGTGATTCGTTATTGACAACGTTTCGCCCACACAGTGGGCTTATTCAAGTCACACACAGATCTACCTGGGGTGGAAGGTACTGGAGTATTTATAGTCAGGTTCAGAATGTTGAGGTCAGGTGGAGAATGCTGCATCTGATGATCTACTGGGCGGGGTTATAGAGTCTTGGGTAGCTTGACAGGGGTATTGGACAAGTTGTGAGTAGACCTTCTGCAGTGTTCTATGTTCTATGTGGGATAGCGATGAAGAAGTTTCTTGGCGAGTGGTTCAGCTATGTTATAGAAGCCGTTGTTCTGGTTGAAATTGTTGGTTATAGAGATAAGCGATGATTCCAGGATTCTTCGGTATTGAGTGTTGTCTTCTGTGGCGATAAGTCTTGAGTTTCTGTAGTTAATTAAATGGTTGTGTGAATTGCGATGTTGTACACAGGCATTCCTTGTATCGTCAGTCCTACTTGCGTATTGGTGTTCTGAAATACTTGTTTGGAGGTCTCTTGATGTTTCGCCAACGTATAATTTGTTGCAGTCATTACAAGGGATTATGGTATAAACCTTGGTAATAAATACCGACAAGTTGGTTTAGAAAGACACGTAAGCAAACACTATAACATATTTATTAGAAAACGTTTCGGTCCTGGGACCTTGATCACTTCTAACAAGTGATCAAATTCTAAGAAGTGATCAAGGTCCCAGGACCGAAACGTTTTCTAATAAATATGTTATAGTGTTTGCTTACGTGTCTTTCTAAACCACAAGGGATTATGTATACCCCTGCAGAGGATGGAAGCTTGTCCTGTCTACTACTGGTGATGTCCTTGATGGTCGTGGTTGTGGAGGTAGATACTTGGAATGATGTATTGGAAAAGATGTTGGAAACATGTTTGCCACAGAAGACAACACAGAAGACAACACTCAATACCGAAGAATCCTGGAATCATCGCTTATCTCTATAACCAACAATTTCAACCGGAACAACGGCTTCTATAACATAGCTGAACCACTTGCCAAGAAACTTCTTCATCGCTATCCCACATAAGAACATAGAACACTGCAGAAGGTCTACTCACAACTTGTCCAATACCCCTGCCAAGCTACCCTAGACTCTATAACCCCACCCAGTGGATCATCAGATGCAGCATTCTCCACCTGACCTCAACATTCTGAACCTGACTTTAAATACTCCCGTACCTTCCACCCCAGGTAGATCTGTTTGTGACTTGAAAAAGCACACTGTGTGAGCGAAACGTTGTCAATAAAGGATCACATTAAACTGCATGTGTTTATGTTTCCATGTTCAAGTCAGGTGATAGGCTCGGTGTGATGTCCAGCCTCAGGTGTCTCTCATCGGTTCTTGTTCGCCTTTTAGGTTAATTAAATTTATTTGAAATGGTAAATTCTTTTTGATCATTCATCATTGTAGATGAATGGTTCAGAGAACCGACATGTTGTTGAATTAGACACGTTCAAGATTGATGGACTGACCACATCGACTCAAGGCTGAGGGACTGATTACCTCATTCTCCTCCTGTTCTTCAAGTTTCTCCTTTGTATGGACTGATGAAGCCGCTGTGTGGCGAAACGTTTCCTCAATAAAGATACCCAAGAGTTGCACATTTGTCTTATTCAACATCATTAATCATGTTGGAGGCTCGAACCTCCGCCCCTTGAACGCCAGATTCACTAACAAACTTATCTCATCTAACCCCGTTCCAAGTGTTATTTTGTCTCCTATCATCATTGTTTTGCTCTTGTTAGTACTTGAACACTAATAACCACTTGCTGGAATGTTTTTTCAGTTTGTTCAAGTTTTCTTGCATAGTGTTTCTCATCTTTTATTTATTATCTGTGGCACCAGTGTAGTGTCATATACAAGCTTGCAAGACACTCTTCCATGTGTCAGATCTTTCTGTTTCTCGTGTTCTGTTGTTATGTTTTAATAACATTTTCAAATTTAGACTATTCATATATATCAGGAACAGAATTGGCATAATGGATGGTCCTTGAGGACATCACTAGTAGCATGTATGGGCGTGTGTATGCGTGTATATATGTATGTATGTATGTGTGTGTGTGTGTGTGTGTGTGTGTGTGTGTGTGTGTGTGTGTGTGTGTGTGTGTGTGTGTGTGTGTCCGTACATATGTGATGTGTGTGTGTTTATAGTCATGACTTAACGCCCCTTGCCACCTATCCCCTCACAGAAGGGGGTGCTGCTGCCGCGGGAGACTGACCCCATTCTTCACATGGGGTGCCCACTGGCCGCCTCCACGCCCACCGCTCGCACCTCTACCACCCAGCCTACAGTGTACGCCCATTACGCCCCAGAGCACACGACCCTCCTTCCGTCGTACACCCATGACCTCTCCACCACCTTGCCCAGGTCTTACCCTCGAGAGCCTTCATCGGGAGAATCCCCATACACCAGGGACGTTCTGGCCTCCCTGTCAACCCCTTACTCACATCACTCTTTTACACTGGGGAGGACAGGCTCTCTCTCCTCAGGACGGGCTACACCACCTTGCTCTTCCACCACTACCACAACCTCCACCACAACCTCCTCTCCCTCCTCCGTCAACCACCACGGATCCACCTCCACCGTGGCCTTCCAGCTTGAGAGTGACTCTCCCAGGATTCCTTTAGTTAACCCCAGAGACAAAGCTGGCAGCCCCAACCACCGGGAGAGCTCGGTCTAGTCCCGTACTAGATAGTGTCAACCCTGTGTCACTTCTCCTCAGGTATGTCTAACCTCACTTCCGCTCTTCCCCTTGTGTCCAGGGCCTGGAAATCTACCAGTTTTCCAGACCCCCATATGCACGTATATTTCCCTCCTGGTATGTAAACAGTGATGCATTATATTCATCCCCCAGTAAACACTAGACTCCCTAGATAAAATTGTTAGCCTCTTATTGTGGCTGTGTTAGGAGCACTCAAGTCAAATGAACCAATAATGATTAAAATACTAATAAAATATTTGGAATTTGCAAGAAGTGACAGTTGTTCTTATCGGTTTGCGCTATAATAATAACATTGCTGTGCAGACACATCACAGAAGCTCCGTTGGTTGTCTCTGTTGATTTGAGTGTGACAACACAGTTATCCAGTGTTATTCATTACCCTTAATTAAATGTGAATGTTTTACTCGTACATAATTCCCCAAGATCCCTAGCAGTAATGCTTAATTTAAGAAGGAATACAAATTCGAAAATTGTTTTAGCAAAAATTATAGCTATCCTAATGTTATATAGTAAGACTGTTAGTTAGTCCAATAATGTATTATTAATTTGCACAGTTAATTTAGTGATGTAAATATTTTACACATGCAGTATATAATTAGAAAATGTATGTCCTCTTCACCTCTTAGTCCTTGCATACTGTCTTTATTTTTGTTGCTCTGTCTTACATCAAACACTTCCTTCTTCTGTCCTCCTTACCAACCCCATCGCCAGCAACCTTCACTAAACGTACACGAAGTAAAATCTTATGCAGTAATTCCAGGAAGTGTTTGTTCCTCCGGCAGGAGTGTGGTGAGCACCAGCAGCAGCAGCGGGACGGGCACTCCAGAGAGCACGATGATGGACGCCCAGAGGGCCTTCAAGGTGGACAAGCCAAAGAGGAGTGCCTCCTTCAAAAGCGAAATCTATGGGAGTTTCAAAAGCGAAACCCACGGGAGTTTCAAACGGGAATATCAAGGGAGTTTCAAGAAAGATTACTGTGGGAGCTCCAGGAAGAGTTCCCCAGGCAGTTACAAGTTGGAAAGCTCGAAGAGGAGCATATCTGGCGGAAGCTTCAAACTGGAAAGTTCAAAGAAGAGCCCCTCCGACAGCTCCAAAAATGCTTCCGGAAGCTTCAAATTAGAAAATCCAAAGAGCCCCTCCAAGAACTTCAAGAGCCCATCGGGAAGCTTCAAGTTGGACATCCCAGGAAGAATGGAGATCTCCAGTATCCTGAACAAGGATTCACCGGGAAGTTTCAGAAGAGAAATACCGAATGCCTTCAGGAGGGAATCCCCAGGGAGCTTCAAGCTGGAGATCCCAGGAAGTGTGAGGAGAAACTCATGTGGGACGTTCATGACGGATTCTCCAGTTATTTACAAGAGGGACTCGCCAGGAAGCTTCAAACTGGACATACCTGGAGGCACGCGCAAGGGCTCTTGCGGGAACCTAACGAGGGAGACTATCGGTATTTTCAGGAGGGAGTCATCAGGCAGCTTCAAACTAGAGATGCAAGGAAGTATGAGGAAGGACTCCACGGGAAGCTGCAAGCTCCACACGCCACAGAGGAGCCCCTCTGGAAGCTACAAAAGCCCTTCTGGGAGCTTCAAGAGCCCATCGGGGAGTTTCAAGAGGGAGTCTCCTGGGAGCTTCAAGCAAGACACAACAAAGAAAAGCCCATCTGGGAGCTTCAAATGGGAACCTCTTGGAAGCTTCAAGTTAGATACCCCGAAGAAGAGCCATCCCGAGAACTTCAGGAGAGACTATCCAGGGAGTTTCAAACTGGAGACACCAAAGAAAAGCCCATCTGGGTGCTTCAAGAGAGAATACCCAGGAAGCTTCAAGCTGGAAACCCCAAAGAAAAGCCCCTCCGAGAACTTCAAAAACGTTTCTGGGAGCTTCAAGCTGCAAACCCCTCAAAGAAGCCCATCAGGAAACGGCAAGACGGAGACTTCCAAGAAGAGTCCCTCAGGGAGCTTCCAGAGCCCATCCGGAAGCTTCAAGAGTCCTTCTGGCAGCTACAAACTAGAGACACAAAACAAGAGTCCTTCCGGGAGCTTCAAAAAGGAATCCCCAGAAACATTAAAACTAGATACACCAGGGAACGCGAGGAAAGGCTCATCAGGAAGCTGCAAACTGGACATGCCAGGGGTCACGAGGAAAGGCTCCTCGGGGAGCTTCAAACTGGACATGCCAGGGGATACGAGGAAGGGCTCGTCGGGGAGCTTCAAACTGGACATGCCAGGGGACACGAGGAAAGGCTTGTCGGGGAGCTTCAAGAGAGAGTCGCAGAGAAGCATAAAGCTGGACGCTCCAGGAGCCGCCGTTATGATGTACTCTCCGGGCAGCAAGAGAAGAGACATTCTCGGCAACTTCAAGATAGACTCATCAACAGAAGGAGCACTGGTAGTGACGCAGATGTGTTCACCCTTGCATCGACCAGGTTCTAACAAGCCAGACAAGCTCAGAATAGTTTGTCCTCTGGATTCAAAAATTCGGATAGAACTCAAGATGGACTGAATGCAAAAGCGTTCCTTCTTCCATTCGCTCTCGTGCGTAATAGTTTGGAGAACTTTGAAATTACTAATGGTGCAAGAGGGAAATTGGGGTTTCGGCAATCCGCTCACTGAATTAAAAGTTTATCAGACTTTCGGGATAAAGTCATTACCATTCGAGTCATGTGTGCGTGTGGAGCTCAGAGTAACTTAAGCTGAAAATCTCGTGACTGAGTTGTGAACGGAGACCACGCAGATGATGAGACTGTCAGTGGTTGTGTGTGTGTGTGTGTGTGTGTGTGTGTGTGTACTCACCTAATTGTGGTTGCAGGGGTCGAGACTCAGCTCCTGGCCCCGCCTCGTCACTGAGTGGTACTAGGTCCTCTCTCTCCCTGCTTCATGAGCTTTATCATACCTCATCTTAAGGCTATGTATGGTTCCTGCCTCCTCTACCTCACTTGCTAGGTTATTCCACTCCTGACTATGCTATGGCTGAAGAAGTACTTCCTAACATCCCTTTGACTGATCTGGGTCTTCAACTTCCAATTGTGATCCCTTGTTTCTGTGTCCCATCTCTGGAACATCCTGTCTCTGTCCACCTTGTCTATTCACGCAGCATTTTGTATGTTGTTATCAAGTCTCCCCTAATCCTCCTGTCCTCCAGTGTCGTCAGGCCGATTTCCCTTAACCTTTCTTCGTAAGACATTCCCCTTAGCTCTGGAACTAGCCTTGCGTGTGTGTGTGTGTGTGTGTGTGTGTGTGTGTGTGTGTGTGTGTAAGTGGGGAAGTAAATTTTCCATAGAAGACTTCAGATGCTCTGGGATCAAAGAAATGCTATAGAATTTGTGTTTTGTATGAAGCTCCAACGAGAAAATATTTTAAGTCGGAAAGCTCTTGCTATTTCCTCTCACGAGCAGATTTGAAAACATCACTTACTGTCGCTGTCAGGTGTTGGCTAGCAAGTTCTATCGACCTGGCTGTCAGGTGTTGGCTAGCATGCTCTATCGAACTGGCTGCCAGGTGTTGGCTAGCATGCTCTGTCAACATGGCTGTCAGGTGTTGGTTAGTGTTGCCTGCCGACCAGTTTGTTGCAAGTGATGAATTTGCTTGTGTGAGAAGTGTCCTGGGGTATCGTAAATTTTCTCTCAGTTCGTTTCAGTGGTAATTGACGACAGTTTAACGCAAATATGTGACGCAAACTGAATATTTAATGCAGATATGTGACGCACAGTTCCGCAGACTCGCCTCTTTATGAGCTTAATTTACCTGGAGAATACCTGGAGAGGGTTTCGGGAATCAACGCCCCCGCGGCCCGGTCTATGACCAGGCCTCGAATAATTTCAGTGAAAAGGAAAAATAAATATATTATCAAAATATAAGAGTGAACCTTGTGCTAAGTGGCATTCATTACAAAGCTTATGTTTTTCCCAGCTTTGTCAATGATGCAGACTAGTGTACAAAACTAACTACTGCTGCGTGTGACTTTTTTTGTGTGGATCTGCAAGCTTTTATTTTTGTCGGAAAAAGTGCGAAAATAAAAGTCTTACTATTTACATTAACCTCATACACGATTCCAACACCCGTTGATATACGACTTAATTAAATGTTGTATCTCTGGTACTTAAATTATATGTTCTGATTTATATCCCCGGTGGAAATCTGCAAGGAGGTGAGATTTGGATTTTTTGCATTACCAGTACGTATACTTGTCAATATACACCCCCTTGCCTTGTATTGTCCAGTTCGCTGGGTCTAAGAGTGGGCGAGAGTGACTTCTGCCTCGGAGACTATCTGGTCTCGCAAATTATCTCGCTGTGGACGTAACTCTATGTTAACTTCTACCCCCCCCCCTCCCATCCCGGCTGTCTATCCTCCCAGAGGAGGGCAATGAACTAAAGACGAACTTGGGAGGAGAGGCGGTGCCTATCAGTCGAGAGTGAGGACACAACCTTGCCGACCGTGCCACTAGTCCCTATATACCATGTTTTAATGGAACTTGTATAATATTGGTTTAGAAATATATTTGTAACTTTTATATCCATGTGTCTTTTTTTTAATTAGTGAGCTCTCTAACAAGTGATGGTGGTCTCGGACGTCTCTAGACGCCTACTTAATGCACCGCTAAGTCGACATTTCTGGCAAGCGATTAAACTCTTAACGTCACTTAAACCAACTTTTACCATTCCCAAAGTTAAATAATTTAAGTCACCATTCGGACTCACACTGCTCGAGTTATTCTAAATCTCTGAGGGAACCGAATTCTCTTGGTGAGAGAGGAAGACTGTTAATCCAAATATCCTTGAGTATAGAGCTGTAGGATTATAGAAATGGGATTCGCAGAGCAGGATTTCAGGTTACAATTCTCGAATCAGGCTACCAAAACTTTTGATTACTAATGCTGAATTCTAAAAGTTAGATTGAAAAACCTGTACTCCAGTTGTCGGACTCCAAAAGTTGGACTTTGAAAACTGGAAACAAAAGTCAAACTTCAGAGATCAGAGTGCAGGCACTAGAGAGTAACACTTCAGAGATCAGAGTGCAGACACTAGAGAGTAACACTTCAGAGATCAGAGTGCAGACACTAGAGAGAAACACTTCAGAGATCAGAGTGCAGACACTAGAGAGTAACACTTCAGGGATCAGAGTGCAGACACTAGAGAGTAACACTTCAGAGATCAGAGTGCAGACACTAGAGAGTAACACTTCAGGGATCAGAGTGCAGACACTAGAGAGTAACACTTCAGAGATCAGAGTGCAGACACTAGAGAGTAACACTTCAGGGATCAGAGTGCAGACACTAGAGAGTAACACTTCAGAGATCAGAGTGCAGACACTAGAGAGAAACACTTCAGAGATCAGAGTGCAGACACTAGAGAGTAACACTTCAGGGATCAGAGTGCAGACACTAGAGAGTAACACTTCAGAGATCAGAGTGCAGACACTAGAGAGAAACACTTCAGAGATCAGAGTGCAGACACTAGAGAGTAACACTTCAGAGATCAGAGTGCAGACACTAGAGAGAAACACTTCAGAGATCAGAGTGAAGACACTAGAGAGAAACACTTCAGAGATCAGAGTGCAGACACTAGAGAGTAACACTTCAGAGATCAGAGTGCAGACACTAGAGAGAAACACTTCAGAGATCAGAGTGCAGACACTAGAGAGTAACACTTCAGAGATCAGAGTGCAGACACTAGAGAGTAACACTTCAGAGATCAGAGTGCAGACACTAGAGAGAAACACTTCAGAGATCAGAGTGCAGACACTAGAGAGTAACACTTCAGAGATCAGAGTGCAGACACTAGAGAGTAACACTTCAGAGATCAGAGTGAAGACACTAGAGAGAAACACTTCAGAGATCAGAGTGCAGACACTAGAGAGAAACACTTCAGAGATCAGAGTGCAGACACTAGAGAGTAACACTTCAGAGATCAGAGTGCAGACACTAGAGAGAAACACTTCAGAGATCAGAGTGAAGACACTAGAGAGTAACACTTCAGAGATCAGAGTGCAGACACTAGAGAGTAACACTTCAGAGATCAGAGTGCAGACACTAGAGAGAAACACTTCAGAGATCAGAGTGCAGACACTAGAGAGTAACACTTCAGAGATCAGAGTGCAGACACTAGAGAGTAACACTTCAGAGATCAGAGTGCAGACACTAGAGAGAAACACTTCAGAGATCAGAGTGCAGACACTAGAGAGTAACACTTCAGTGTGTTCGTATCAACATCCATGATGCATGATTTCAGAAGTCTGATAATTAACATCATGCACGAGTGTCTGGACATCGCGCGACAAAATTGCAAAATTGTTATTGTCAAAACCTACAATACTGACGCTAAGTGGCATTGTAAATAAAAAAAAGAATCGAAAATAGGATTTACTACCCTGGACTAAAGACGAAACAAAAGGACATATCCGAAAATTACTCGGTGATCCCTAAAATTATAAAATAAAATGTATATTAATAAATTTAATGAGAATTGACACACGGATCTGCTGAGTCCATCTTGCTTAAATTAATCTTTACACAACTGCTGTTCTCTCTAACATTTCACCTCTGGCCCTTTATTCCTATTCATTTAAAACTGAGAACATTGTTTTATTCACAGTACTGTGAAATTCGGGTATGGATTGGCAGGAATTTAAGGTCAATTTATGAGATATTACTCTTTATGAAAATTGTCATCGGCGGCTCTCTGTAAATATAATTTTGGCTCATTAGTAGAGATCTGACGTGGATTATTTTTATAGCAGGCAGTTTGGTGGCAGTGTGTCTCTGCTACACCAGTGAGAATGACGGATCGATTAATTTACAGTTACTTTTATTCATGTAGTTACATTCACGAGAGTGTAAAAAATATTTTTTTATAGAAAGACTGACAATCCAGAAGTTCGATTCCGATACAATGATTTCCAGCTACAGCTGACTTCCTGCATGTGTACTTGTACCAAGGAATTATCATCTCGGAGGAGAGTCCTGTGTGACCAGTCACTGCTCTGAGATCCCTGACTGACAGTCACTGCTCTGAAATCCCTGATTGACAGTCACTGCTCTGAGATCCCTGACTGACAGTCACTGCTCTGAGATCCCTGACTGACAGTCACTGCTCTGAGATCCCTGACTGACAGTCACTGCTTTGAGATTCCTGACTGACAGTCACTGCTCTGAGATCCCTGAATGACAGCCACTGCTTTGAGATTCCTGAATGACAGTCACTGCTCTGAGATCCCTGACTGACAGTCACTGCTCTGAGATCCCTGAATGACAGTCACTGCTCTGAGATCCCTGACTGACAGTCACTGCTCTGAGATCCCTGAATGACAGCCACTGCTTTGAGATTCCTGAATGACAGTCACTGCTCTGAGATCCCTGACTGACAGTCACTGCTCTGAGATCCCTGAATGACAGTCACTGCTCTGAGATCCCTGACTGACAGTCACTGGTCTGAGATCCCTGAATGACAGTCACTGCTCTGAGATCCCTGACTGACAGTCACTGCTTTGAGATTCCTGACTGACAGTCACTGCTCTTAGATCCCTGAACGACAGTCACTGCTCTGAGATCCCTGACTGACAGTCACTGCTCTGAGATCCCTGATTGACAGTCACTGCTCTGAGATCCCTGAATGACAGTCACTGCTCTGAGATCCCTGACTGACAGTCACTGCTCTGAGATCCCTGACTGACAGTCACTGCTTTGAGATCCCTGAATGATAGTCACTGCTCTGAGATCCCTGACTGACAGTCACTGCTCTGAGATCCCTGAATGACAGTCACTGCTCTGAGATCCCTGAATGACAGTCACTGCTCTGAGATCCCTGACTGACAGTCACTGCTCTGAGATCCCTGACTGACAGTCACTGCTCTGAGATCCCTGAATGACAGTCACTGCTCTGAGATCCCTGAATGACAGTCACTGCTCTGAGATCCCTGACTGACAGTCACTGCTCTGAGATCCCTGACTGACAGTCACTGCTCTGAGATCCCTGAATGACAGCCACTGCTTTGAGATCCCTGAGTGGCCAGTAAGTGCTTTCAGGGTCCTGAATGAGTGACCAACCACTGCACTGAGGCTAATGAGTGACCAGCCACTGCACTGAGGTTAATGAGTGACTAACCAGTGTGCTGAGGTTAATGAGTGACCAGCCATTGCACTGAGGTTAATGGGTGACCAGCCACTGCACTGAGGTTAATGGGTGACCAGCCACTGCACTGAGGCTAATGAATGACCAGCCACTGCACTGAGGTTAATGAATGACCAGCCACTATACTGAGGTTAATGAGTGACCAATCATTGTACTGACGTTAATGAGTGACCAATCATTGTACTGACGTTAATGAGTGACCAATCAGTGTACTGAGGTTAATGAGTGACCAGCCACTGAGGTTAATGAGTGACCAGCCACTGAGGTTAATGACTGAATGCTCTGAATGTCCCGACTAACATCAGGTGAAGCCAAGTACTGTCAAGTGTTGCTCGAGGTATTGTGATTGTTTTCACTCACATCGGGATTCGTAACTTATTAATATGGAATAAAAACAAAAACTGTAGCCCAAGAGCTGTATATTCTAGTCTAACAGTTATAGGATATGGAAGAGTGTGTGTAGGTGGGTGTGTTGCGCTGACCACAGACGTCCTGAGAAGCAGGAACTTAAAGACAAGTAACTTCAAGTTTTAGTTTAAGTATTTTAGGATTGTGTTTGCACAGCCCCGTTCTTTGTATATGTTTTTAGCACATGATTATTCCTCGTAATTAAGGATATCAACAGCTTGTAGGTCTGTGATCCTCGTTAAGAGTATCAGCAGAGAGTCAGAGGTCTTGCAGTGCATGAACTTCAGTTTAAATGGAGTATTAATGATAATTATTTCTGACCCCTTAATTGTGATGATTTTTCCTTCTCCTCGTCATAACACGTTTGTAATGCACCCCGTCAAGAAGCTCCTCTTAACGATGTAAAAAAAAAAATAACTGGATTTCCGTTTCCATTAGATGCAAGAAATTACAAAAAAAAAAAAAAAAAAAAAATCCATGATGATGACATTTTAAATTGATTCTTTTCTGCATGTGATGCCACACTTAAGAGGCTTGTCCTCCATAGACATGTGAGCCAAATAAGAGGCACTTGGTCTCCGATATCATGTGATGCACATTAAGAGCACTTGCTCGATAGACATGTGATGCCACACTTAAAGCATTGTCTCCGATGCATGTGATGCCACACTTAAGAGGCACTTGTCTCCGATAGACATGTGATGCCACACTTAAGAGGCACTTGTCTCCGTTAGACATGTGATGCCACACTTAAGAGGCACTTGTCTCCGATAGACATGTGATGCCACACTTAAGAGGCACTTGTCTCCGATAGACATGTGATGCCACACTTAAGAGGCACTTGTCTCCGATAGACATGTGATGCCACACTTAAGAGGCACTTGTCTCCGATAGACATGTGATGCCACACTTAAGAGGCACTTGTCTCCGATAGACATGTGATGCCACACTTAAGAGGCACTTGTCTCCGATAGACATGTGAATGCCACACTTAAGAGGCACTTGTCTCCGATAGACATGTGATGCCACACTTAAGAGGCACTTGTCTCCGATAGACATGTGATGCCACACTTAAGAGGCACTTGTCTCCGATAGACATGTGATGCCACACTTAAGAGGCACTTGTCTCCGATAGACATGTGATGCCACACTTAAGAGGCACTTGTCTCCGTTAGACATGTGATGCCACACTTAAGAGGCACTTGTCTCCGATAGACATGTGATGCCACACTTAAGAGGCACTTGTCTCCGATAGACATGTAGCCACACTAAGAGGCACTTGCTCCGATAGACTGTGATGCCACACTTAAGAGGCACTTGTCTCCGATAGACATGTGATGCCACACTTAAGAGGCACTTGTCTCCGATAGACATGTGATGCCACACTTAAGAGGCACTTGTCTCCGATAGACATGTGATGCCACACTTAAGAGGCACTTGTCTCCGATAGACATCCAGATGTTCACTAACACGCGGCGTCAGACGGGAACACCGTCTCCGCCAGGGGTGTGGACACAGCTTACCGGTGTTTCCACCGGTCAACACCTGTAATATTACGTCACTGAGTGTCATGGCC